CTCTCTCTCATCTCTTCCTAGTCTCTAACTCTTTTTAAAAGATTTTTTTTATTAATTTGCTATTCACTTATGTGCACATGCACATGGGTGCAAGTGTGTGCTGAGGCCGGGGGGAGCACTGAGTCTTTGGGTCGAGTTACAGATACTTGTATGCTGTTGATCTGGGTGCTGGAAACTGAAGCTCAAGTCCTCTGCAAGAGCTATATTTGCTCTTAAGGGCTGAGCCGTCTCTCCAGCTTCCATCGATAACTATTTTAAAGAGTGGAGGAGCGGTAGTTGTTGATTTTTTATTGCTTTGTTTTTGTTCTGTTTTTAAATAGTGTAGGATTGAACATAGTTTCCCTCTGCATGCTAGGCAAGCGTTCTACCACTAACCCATAGCTTCCACTCGTTTGTCATTCATTGATTTTTTTTACCAAGTAGGTTCTCGGGAATGAACTCAAGTGGCCAGGCTTGGCAGCAAGTGTTTTTATCCATCTCACTAGTCCCTAAACGTATTTTTAAGTTGTACATTTATATATATATATATGTATATGTATATATATATATATGATGTATATATATATATACATATAAATAATATATATATGATGTATATATTAGTTTGTTAAATTCCAAATAATATATAAACAAATTATACATATATATGTGTGTGTGTGTGTGTATACACACATATATATGAATATATATGTATATATACATATATATTTCATAATATATGAATTTCATAATATGTATGAAATCTTCCAATCTAGGGAAATATACATATATTTCCTTAAGCAATTCTTTGTGATGAAAAAAATTAAAATTTTTTTCTAGATTAAAAACAAACCAGATAACACACAGGATACCTTACTGTGTAACAGGAGGCCAGAATTTTTTTTCTCTTACCTAACTCTAAGTTAGAACTAGTTCACTGGTCTTCTCCATGTGTCCCTGTCCACTAGACTCTCAAACTTCTAAGAAACTCTTTTCTATTCCCAACTGCTGCCATCAAAGTCTGCCAACCTGGATTAGGTCCACAGATCCTACTTTGGAAGGAGAGAAACCAACTCCTGAAAGTTGTACACACGTAGACACACACACACACACACACATACACACATACACACACACACACACACACACACACACGGAACAAATAAATAAAATTTAAAACAACAAAATACAGAGTCATTAAAAGGACTATACCCAACAAAAGTTGATACTTCCAGGGAATCCCAGAGGGTCTAATGCTGGCAGGACTGGCTTTCTTGTGTCTTGCATAGTTTATACTCTTCAGCTTGACTCTGCCCACTCATTGCTTATCTTTGTTCTAATACTTTTGAAAGTAATCACACTAGGCTCCTGTGTATTCATCCAATCACTGGAAGAAAACTGCCCAGATTCACCTGAAGACAGGTGGGTCTTGCTGTTAGCAAGCCTGAGATGAAGAATACTTAGTTTCCAATGGACAAAGCAGGTGATAACTACCGGGGGAACTGTCTTGGGTGAAGAAGAGTTGTAACTGACATTCTACCATGTTTATGTTCACTGCAAATCCTCAGTGTGAACAACTGGTTTAGTTAAGTGGCTGTTGATTTGGGAGGATTAGTTTTAACAGAGGAGCACAGTTATTCTCAAATTCACTTAAGTTCAAGTAGAAAACAACGTAGCCCACCAACCAATCAAATTAAAGAGGCATATGTGAAGATACTGTCATCCCAGATACATATAAATGAGTTAATTACGCACAAACATAATTTATAAATGGCTTCATCACCCTTATTTTACATTTTAATTACTTCATTTATATACACACATTCTTTGGTACTATTCTTGGGTACCTTGGTGATAATGTTCCCAGTGCCTAACAATATGTCGAGCTTGGGAAATTTTAACCAAATGTTGTGAGAATACGTAGATATGTTTGTGGCTCAAGTGAAACTTAGTGTGGGCTGTAGTGTGTAGTTAGTCACGGAGAGACAGAAGTAGGAGGGTCAGGAGCTCAAGGCTAGCCTGAGCTATATGGGACCCTGCCTCAAAAAAACAAAACAAAGACAGAACAAACAGAAAATAAAAGAAGGAGTCTTATGAAGAGCAAGTGGCTTAAAAACTCCACCAATGTATAGCCATGTTTGTGTGTGTATGTGTGTGTGTGTGTTCATACACGTGTGTATGTGTGTGGAACCCTGAGGTCAACCTTGAGTGCCAGTCCATAGACACCATTCACCATGGTAAAATTTACATGTGTATGGTGTTTGCATGCACACACACAGGGGTTAGAGGCTGACAGTGAGCACCTTCTAGGTCACACCCCACCTTACACGTTGAGGCAGGGATTCTCCTTAAACCCAGAATTTCCAATGTGGCCAGTCTTTCTAGCCAGCTTGCTCGGGATCTCTTGTCTGTCTCTGCCTGGTGAAGGCTGGCATAACAAGGCTGCCACGTCTGCCTGGCATTTCTATGGATGCTGGGGATCTGAACTATGGTCCTCACAATTCTGGGACACATGCTTTGTGTGACATCACATCTGTTTTTTTGTTTGTTTCTTTGTTCGTTTTTGTTGTGTTTTACAGGGTCATCAAACTCATGTCTTCATGCTTGCACAAAATAAGCACTTCACTCACTGAGACAGCTAGCAATGCAGCCCAATGGTTAGCTCTTTAGGAACTCATTTACAACACAGATAAATCTTCCCAGCTGTGCTCTGTCCCGTAGCACGCGCCTGATTGCATTCGCATCTAGATATTGTCCTGTTCTAGAATTAGGTCCATAAGCTACTTCAGAGCGATTTTAAAGCCTGATCTTTCCAAAGCCATCCAGGAACCAAATGGAGTCTTTAATCCCTCTTGATGATCAGCAAATCCTTTTCCATCTCTTATTTTCCCATTTAAAAATCAACCCTTCATGATTTGGTTCAAGTTCATTGTACCCCATCTTTAGTTGGAGATAGGAAACAGCAGGACAACTGCCTCCCATGGAGATGTCTTTATACATGTGAAATTCTCTGCTAATCACCTCTGAATTCCTCTTCTCTCAGTTGCATAATTCTGGTTTTATAAGCCCAGCGGTAAATCAAATAACAATGCCATCGAAGCAAACAGCGTGAGTCAGAAGAGTCCTGGGGGCCACTGTGTGCCTCATGGACCTAACAAAAGGCCATGTTTTAGGATAGCACTGAGACAGACGGAGCTTGGATCGACGATGAGAAAGGCGCATAAAACAAAACTACCAACCCAGTTTTACTGTCCTCACCTTTCCACACAGGGCTGACGCTAAAACCCTTTAATCATCCCTGTGGTTTTCCACAGAGCCTCCCCAAGTGCTCCACATGTCTCATTAGTGGGTCCCAGACCTGTGTTGACGCTGGAGACGGACGGATGCAGAGAACAGGGGCGTGGCTCTTCTCTCTAGCCACACATCTGTTTAGTTAGACTGTAATTGTTACTTCAGTAAACAAGATCATCCAGCCGCTTTCACGGGATAACGCTTGCGATTTCCCAAGGTGCTGGCTCTTGCTAGCAGGTTGTAACCCTAGGAGCTGGCTCTTGCTAGCCCGTTGTAACCCTACACTCTCTATTGCACTTAAATCACTTGCTTCCATGTTTTGTTATGTCCATCTTTTCCAGGTGACTTAAGTTCTAATCTAGTCTCAGACTTGAATTTTCAGGTGACTTTGCCTTATCTTGGAGGGCAATTTGGAATTTAACAAAACTGTATTATTCATTTCTTTCCCCCACAAACAACTCTGGTAATAACTACTATCAGCAGACCATTTCCTGCTTAAAATGGAGTTTTTCTCTTCCTTCCTTCCTTCCTTCCTTCCTTCCTTCCTTCCTCCCTTCCT